ATAAGGCCTGCACACCAGTCCGCTTATCTCCTGGCAGACATTCCGCATCCCGGGGTTCTGGTGTGGGGAGCCAAAGAAAATTCCATTGCTCTGTTGTGTTTGGACCAGTACATTTCCTTTATTATTATTATATAGTTCTTGATCCACCAGTAGAATTCTAAGGGAGTTTATCTCATCAAGCATTAGGCAAAAACTCTGGGGATGGAGATGAAATGCTCTTAAGTGTAGAGTCCAATCGATTTTCTCCAAGTCCCCAACAGCCACTCACTAATAGTTTCCATTGATACAAGAGCTCTACAGAGATAACAAAAAAGTCCTCACAGACGCGTTCCTCTGAAAGCCTGAAACGCGCTGAATCGCTTCTTGAGTCTTCCATGCAACACGACGAGCAGACAAGAGAGTTACTGTAACCCACAAGTGGGGAAACCTCACATTCAATCTTAATTCTTAGATTTAATTAACTTAATTTTTATGTTTGTATTTATGCTATTTAAGATGGATACGAGGTAGAAGTATTTTATCACAGCTGTTGTACTGAATTATTTTTTATTAGATCAAAAAGAGTTGTATCGAAGGGCAAATTATTTCTGGAAGAATGCAGGGATGTCGCAGGAAGCAAAGGGTTGTGGGAGTGTGAAATAAGCTACCCACCCACCCGAGTTGTCAAAGCTGATACCCCGACTCCTTTCCTGCGTTAAAAATCATATAGATGAAACCATTATTTTTCTACTGATATAATATAACTTACAATTTATGTTAAATTACTGTGCAAATTACTGTTAGCCAGTATTATTAAGTTTTATTGTTTTGTCCTAGATGTTGGGCTTCTAGGATGTTATGATTTTCAGATGGCACTCAGAAGAAAACTTTGCCACACCCGCAGTGGATTTAGTCTTAAATTGAAAGGTCTATACTCCTTGAAGGAGCTCATTCTGAGGGGTGTTGAAGTCTTCATGTAGAAATAAACAAGGAGCCTTAGCTCCTTAGGAGCCGGTCTCCACTGATGAATACTTGACCATGGCCAGGTTCACCTATATAACACAGCTGTGGAGGGCAAGTGTATCCCTTGTGTTAAACCAAATCTCCCATAAATAACAATACAAGCTCAGTGACACTGAACCACTTTCATAGAGTCAGACTGCCTCACGGTTGCCTACAAATTGTCACCAACTCGGCACTTTCACAGTATTGCAAGATTTCAACTGCATGTTACTTTCACACACTTGAATGTTTGGCCGGGCTGTCTGCTATGACCTCATCACTGATTGAAACCTGCAGCTATTCCCTACGTACTGATCTCCAAGATTCACCTGGCATCGCCTGGTTACTTGGAGTTCTGCCTCACACAAATTCCTGTTTACAACAGACCTAGCTTAATGGGAACTGGGCAATAAGATAAATAAGGACATTTCAACACAGACTACAAAAGATGGAGTGTTCTTCAGTTATTTCCTAACTGCATCCAAAATTTCCACCACATGTACAGCAGGTTCTCCTGGGAACCAAGTCTTGACTTTTGCGTTATTCCTTAAAGCAGAAAAATGAACAAATGATTCCTTTGTTTGAAACAATGTTCAAGTTATATTTTCCTCAATTGCCTGTTTGCTTTATACTTCAAAACATGGAGAATTGAAATTTTAATTTTAATTGCGTTTTCAAAACAAACTGTAGAATTTTTACTAAATTGTCTTACAAGAAAGCCATAACTGTAAATATAGTTGCAATTTAATACCAAACAGTTTCACTTTTGAAGTGATAAAAATATGAGAAACGTTCATAAAATTTAAATTTGCTTTTTTGAAGGGTCCAGGTGGGAGATTGTCAAGGCTTATTGCTCCAAAGCAAAATTTGCTCTCAGTTTGTAAATTAATTGTAATGTTTCAAGTTTCATGGCAGGCAAGAGACACCATCTCTACATGCCAGAGTTCCTGAGTTTGAGTTTATCCCTGTTTTATAGTGACATTGCAGAAGCATTTTGTGGAAATCAGAGGACTCTTAATCCCCGTTTCAAATGATAAGAGGTTTTAGAGAGTGGCAAAATGAGAAACAGGCCTAGATGGAAGTTCCTGGAAATTGAAACAGTGGAGCAAATTTTACACTTATGCCAAAAGCTTTGAAGGTCATCCCAACTGCTAAACATTAACCCCTGTCTGACCCATTATTGTGTTTTAAAGAATGAAGCATCCACAAAAATAGCAGTTCAGCTGGTTCTTTTCCCTCAGTGAGCAGTCAATTCCCTTCCTCACTCGTGACAGCAGCTTGCTGAGCTTGACTGAACAGAACTGTTCTGGCCTCTTCTTCCAGGGCTTACACCACCTCTGGTCCTCTTTCGTCCACGTTTGTTCTTTCTGTGCAGATTTAGTGGTCTGTTTATTTTTGAGCCAATACCATTTTATTATACTTTGGCGATCAAAAAATTGGAAGATGCTCTAAAGCCCATTGGAGAGCAGCCATTGAAGAATGGGGTCATGCCTCAGAGCTGCCCAAGTGTTGAGTTGTGCTCACTGTTAATCACAACAAGAAAGCTGAACTGCCAAGTAGCCATCGGGGAAAAGGGTTGGGGGCTTAGGGGTTGGTAACATGGGGAGATACTGCATTTTGTATTGTGTCCTGAAAACACTGCTGTAGATACAGTATACAGCAAAATATTTCATAAGGGAATGTTGAGCCAACAAACTGTGCTACTAACTCTGCATGCTTGGAGTACAGATGAGCATGAACTAAGAATTCTTTGTAACCAGAGCAGGCCTGCCTGAAGGGGGTTATCTGGGTAGAGGGGAGGGATGGGGGTAAAACACGTGGTAGCCATTAGTGTATAAAACATGGCCTGAGCATAACGCCATCTCACAGCTCTAAAATATAAGGTTTACAAGGGAAATGAGCTCACTTACTCAGGGCTCTCTCAACCTCATAACTCACCTGTTGTTTGTTTGTTTGTGTGTGTGTGTGCTCAACATTATATATAGTAATAGATCCTGAATGGTCATCGATTCATTTTGTGCAGATTGACCATGTTTAGGAAATTAGAGAGAACTGAAATGTTTGTAAATCTGCAGTTTTTAGACACTCCTACAAGGGAACAGAAGTGGAAGATGCACTTAAAAGGCAACCACATGAGCAACAGCAATAACAGTTCATTTCATTACAAGACTGTGTGAGACGCATCAGATTACAGATTCATTTCAACTCAGACGTAAACCAGATCTCTGTGCTGCTTCAAAAGCTATCTCATTTTGGTGGCCTCTGTTGTGGTAAAAGAATGAGGCACGGTGATTGCCTTCCAGCTGATGACCAAGGCTGTAGGACATCCGCTTTTGGAGGGCTCTGTTAGATCACGTGTTATGCTCAAGTCCCATGAAGACATTTTATATTGTGCAATACAGATTGCCAAAGCTAGTTACTTAGAGCTTGTGGTAGAAGCAGTTAGCCTAACAACTAAAAACAAAGAAGCTGTGGGGTGAAGAAGCAGGTGACATTGCAGTAGTTTTGGCCCATTTTACAACAGCTGCATAGTCACTGCCTGAAACTTTAACAGAATTCCCCATTTGTAGCCTTATAACCACATCGGATTAAGCTTTTTCTATGGCAAAGTAAGCAGCGGGCAAAGGCATGCCCGCAAAGTGTGCACATCTAGATTGAAAAACCAGGACAGCATTCTGAAATTGTCATTCAGGCATAGACCTTAAACAAGAACCAGGTGCCTCTTAACAGAAGACTTGCAACAGGACAAGCTTCCCTCTGCAGAACCACAGAGAACAACGTGATCACAAGTCACATGCTGACTTTCTGTGAAAGAGCCACAGAGGGGTTCACCTTCTCGGTTGCTAGGCGTGTGCTCCGAGAGACACGGTTTACCACCAGCTCTGGCTAATGCGGTTTTGGCAACATTTAGATGTATAGAATTTATATTCGTATATGTTTGAAATATCCTTTTTATGAAGAAAGATGAGATTTAGAAATATGAGGTTATGCTTTTATCAGATAATTAATTTTCAAAATATTTAATAAGGGGGAAAACCTTTGAAGTTGCTATTTTACAATAAGATGTCATCTGAACTCCTCAGTAAAAAAAAGTTCAAAACTGACCCGTGTGGGAGGTTTTTTTAAGCTTCTCTTTATAGGTAATGGGGGCAACGGAGATGTCCTTCCCAAGAACTTAGATGAGGATCAGGTGGCCATGGTTTGGGTAAGGATCAAGGACAAATGGAGAACACAAGCTTTCAATTATTCCTGGTTGCAGTGCTATACAAAAGGAGATCTGTTCACCCTGAAAGGGAAGTCTTCATGTTGCAACTAAAACTTAGTATTAAGACTTAATCTGTTAAAACAGATAACTTGGATAAAGCAATTACAAAAAGTTCAAAGCAAGCGTAGTCCATAGTTAGAATTTATTTGTATGCTTTTAAAGGGCATGTGGTTAGGGTGCACATATACTGTAAGTTTGGATACCCATTACTGTATATTCATAGATACTTGGGAAATAAGCCTAGAATATTTCTACTTCACAAGTATATCACAATGAAGGGTTACATTAGACCAGGAGATCCCACTTCTTTCGCTGTGCTAATAAAAGACATTATGCGATATTAATCAAATACGCTACAGGATTTTCTGGTTAAGAGAAGCAGAAATCTGTTGTGCGTAAAGAGTCGAAGCACTTGTAAAAGAATGAGGACATAAGCAAAGTAATCAGTGGCTTCACAACCATATCCCCCACTGTCACCATCACCTCACCCTGAAAAGAAGCCTTATTCTACCGTCTTGCACCCGTTTCAGAAAAAGCTGGTTACAGAAAGACAAAATACACCCTGAGAGACACAAGCTTTGAGTGTGCTTTGTTTCAAGGTTACCGAGTCATCACGAGCATTACACTTGTATACAACTCAAATAGTGATGGTCCTCAGATCCAGTAAAATGTAAATATTGCAAAATTTCTTACAATATGTTCTTTAAAAAGGAAAAGATTTTACTCCAGCATTTAACTTCTCTTTATAACTTTGGTAAGTAGGCCATCATAAAATTGTTTACTTTGATTTGTATGAAGAACTTAAGTATTGTTTAAAGATTTTGATGCTAGCACAAGGGCTTACAAATAATTTAGTATTGTTATATTATAAAATGTAAGAGGTTTTACTTAGAAGCAAAAGTGCAGATCAATTAGTTGCCTGTCAACCCTTTCAGACCTAAGAAGGAAATGTGCATTTACACTGTTTCGCACTTCTTATATTTAGCATTTAGGTCCATTTTGACAATAAAATGTGCATTCAAAAAACTATGCCAAAATGTATAAAAGAACTGAGATGCGAGACACTGCTTCTGAAGTCTCTCGATCCCAGTGTGCCTGTGGGTTTTCTATGGCTCCTGTAAGCAGTCTTGTTGTCAGCCCTGCTCATGGGGGCTGGTATTCAGTCCAGCTGAGCTCTAAATGGCCACTGTTGTTTGATAACTTTGCAAAGTAAGCAGATGAATTAGGACATTCATTTAACTTGCTTCCTTGGTCAGCCTTGAGTGTGAAAAACTCAGATTCCCTGAGGCTACAGTTTCCAGCAACTTCAGAATACAGAATGTTATCTCTGCCTTATTCTTGCCTGGATAAGCTCTGGAACAAATTGCCACTGTGGCTCCAATACAGAACTGCCTACCTATGTCCGATTACATAGCTTTCACTTGCTGATCCATCGTTGAACAGGTGGTAATGAGACAATTCTCCCACAACAAGCATTTCTCCTTCTGCAGGATTTGAGTTGGTTACACTTCAGATAGCACGCCCGCTGAAGGACAGTTAAGAAACAGAAATGCCTTCCATTTGACCATTTAAAAGCTGAAAACAAAGTTACTAAAGTGTGTCAAGTAGAAAGCTGAAATGAATGGGATTATGGACTTGGCTAAAGCACAAACCAGAACCAAGCTTGTGAACCACTGTTTTAAAGTTCGAGTGCCTGGAGCACTGGGAGGAAGTGTTAAATGGGTCCATCAATGAGCTGATCCAGGTGGTTACAAAACACAGCTAGACTGAAAACACACTGACAAAAACCAGCCCAAAAGGATCAGGGATCCCATCTTTACATTATGTTTGTTAATTATACAAGATATGACCAACTGTGTCCAAGCATGTGGATTTTTTGGGTTCAAAAAGTGTTCTGAAAAGATGTTTGTCCTGTTTTTTCCCCCCACTTAATTGTGATAGTCCTGAGTTCAGATATTCATTCAAAAAAATCATCTAGCTTATTCTTCATTTAAATAAGAAAATACAACTGCACAGTTATAGTCAATGAAGCAGCTTTTAACAACACCGTGACCTGGAAGTAATGTTACAAGTAATTATACTTCAAAATATTGAAACACACCTACTGAGTTATGGCCATTCTGTGAAGCAATTTCTATTAAAAACACCTGATTTGGAACATCAAGATTCAAGCTGAAAACGAGGGTGTATTTTCTCAGTCTGCAAAAGCCAACAATATAGTGCGCTCTCTCTATGCAACTGTGATTGACATCTGGATCTCCATGTAGATCAATAGTAGCTGAAAGCTACATCCAAGTGCTCACTTTATGACCTTTAAAAAGCAGTGAATTACAGTACACAGACCTACAAAAACTGCACAGCTAAGCTGAAAGAAGGTGAAGGAGAAAGTGTGGAGGAGCTACAGTACACATCTGAAACCACAACCTCATGCACTTGTGGGTAGTTATTTGCGAAATGTATCTGCTGGCAAACGCCAGCTCAGCCAGGTGATGCTGCAGAGGCGGAGGAGCCTGCCGCCGGCTAGCGCAGCACTCCCAGTGGATTCCCGCTCCGGATATCGGAAGTGCTAGGAGTGGCTGGTCCCCAGCCAGGTCCTACTGAATCTTGGTGATGGCTTCATGGATGGACTCCGCCACGTAGTCCAGGTTCTTGGTGGTCAGGCCACACATGTTGATGCGGCCGCTGGCCATCAGGTAGACGTGCTTCTCCTTAATCAAGTACTCCACTTGCTTGGCTGCAGAAGGAGGGGGGGAGAGGAGAGGGGAGGATTAGAGGAAAAGGAAGAGCAGGCGGCGGGCGAGGGCCTCCCTCGCGGTCACGAATGACGAGTCTGAAGGAATCCGTTACCAATCAATCCATCCACTCTGCACCGAGGTAGGAAGGAAAATTCCCTCAGAGCAGAGGAACAGCCGTTTTGGAACTGTGACACATGTGAAAGCAATTTAAAAGTTTCAGTGGTTCAGAGTCCAGACGGTAATCAGGTTTAGTGATTCAATGCATGGAGGAAAAGAATAAGAGGTATAGGATGACTGTGAAATTAAGATGCATATCTGATCAAGATTGCCATATAACCTGTGCACACCACAAACTAAATCTGAAACAAAGAAGTGGGAGTATGAGGAGTTCGTTCTCATGAGCAATGACAGCTGATTTCACTGACAGAATGCCAGTAGACTTACAAGTGATTTCATACAGTCGTTTCTCCAATGACGCGCATCCACATTGCACGAATGGGATATAGCGCAACTATTAAATCAGGGAATATTACTGATATTGTGTGAAGTATAGTGTGAACTAGCACCTCAAGGACAGGAAAGGGAGCTGCGTGCGCAGCGTGGTAGCACATAGCTGCTCGGCGGGAATCGCCTATATGTTCACAAATGGAAGTTGTGAGGTTTGCTGGATTACTTCATTATTTTGGGCTTTTTAATATTTTCTGCCTTCTTTATTCCAATTATGGGTGACCAAGATCTGTATAGAACGTGCTGTACAGTAAAAGTGCACTAGAGAGCAAAACGTATAACTAATCTTTCAATCTTTTATTAATTTTATGTACTATATATTGTATTATTATTTTATGTATATTCTTTGATTTAGTGTATTTTTTTTCTGGATGGTATAATTATTTTTTGCGCCTGCCCCTCCTCCTATTTTTCTCCCATTAAAACAAGTATTTATATAGCAGAATCTTCTCAAATGGACATGACTGTACTTTAGAATGCATGGTGTCCCCTTAGGTATTGTTCCCCATTGTATACACATCTTCACTGCTCTGTGTCGCGCATGCTTTTCCACAATACAGAGGTCTGAGCCACCCGACCTTATAAGCCACCTGTACTGCCACTCTACCCCATGCCAGAGTGCTCGCGGCGCCGCGGGGTCGAGACAAGGCACGGCAGGGCACTGTGTAACTTACGGTTGAGGCCTGTGAAGCTGAACATGCCGATCTGCTGGGTAATGTGGTCCCAGGTTCCAGGGGTGCCCAGGGCCAGCAGCTTGGCCTTCAGCTGAGCCCTCATCAACAGCACCCTGTCCGCCATGGTCTTCACATTGTCCTTCCTGCACCACAGGAGAGCAGCGAGTTACGTCACATACGTTGCAGCAGGAGAATATGTATGGACATGCAAGAGGTTGAGCTCTAAAGACTGCTACTTCTGCAATTTTACAGGTAATAATCAGGAGTATTAAATGCAGTTTTAGGTTTCTGTATGACAGAACAATAGCAGACAAAAACTTTGTGGGGGCAGGAAAGTTCATGATCTAATGGGTATATAATTAAACAAGCCATCACTTTGTGCAATAGTGCCCAATGAAACAGACAGCGTGCTCCACCTCCCACGGCAGATTAATGACCCAGACCAAGGCCGTACCATTCGGCAAAGAGTTCGGGGGTGTTGAGTGTGAGCGAGACAATGCGGGCTCCCTGTGAAGGGGGGTTGGACCAGGTAGTACGGACTATCTTCTCCATTTGCGAAAGGACCCGGGTCAGACTGTCCGAATCCTTGGCCACAACTGTGAGGTTGCCCACTCTCTCGTCTGAGGAGAGAAAAATCACAAATGACCTTGATTTAAAAAACAATTCTGTTAAATGAGCCATCAGCATTGTTAAATCTAGAACAGATTTGAATAAAAACAATGATTAAACTCAAGATTAAGTTTACTAAACCTTTTCCTAAAATCTACAAAACATCCAAACATTCCTAAAAAGAAGAGATAACTGTGAACAATAGGGCATTAACCAGGGTAAATTATACACGCCAATCGTCTCAGAGTCACAACATATTACACTGTTAAAATAAATTTCACAACAGATTGTGTGCCTGAAAAAAAAGTTTTAAAAAGTGTTGATTTATTCCACCCTCACTTTCCAGTAAAACTGTACATAAATGCAAGATCTTAAATAAAAAGGTAAATGAAGCTTGACCAGCGAAACTGCCCATTCGTAGTACACGAGGCCCTGTAATCCCTACATGACCAGTTCAGGTCTGGGCCGTCATCGGCCATCAGCACCTGGGATCCCACACACAGCAGCGTGCGCAGAACTGCCTCACTGGGACGTGCCATGTGACTGAACTGAGAGAGTCGCTTCAGTCCTGCTCTTGATGCTTACCCTCGTGAAAGGGCACTGATAAACTGAAGGCATGAACTGCAGTGGTGGAATGCAACACACACTTGCTGTCCAGAGGAAAAGCACGCATTGCCCTCACCCTCTCAATGAGGTATAAAGGCCCCAACAGTTAAATCATCCTGGTTCACAACAAGCAATTCTGAATTGCAGAGTACTCAAAATACTTAAATGATCCCAACTTTTTTTTAAAAAAAAAAGAGAAACAGCTTACTGTAAAGGCCAAAGTTTTTGGAAAAAGACTGGGCACAGAAGATCTCAAAGCCCTGGGAAACAAAGTAGCGGACTGCCCAAGCATCCTTTTCCAGATTCCCTGAGGCGAAGCCCTGGTAGGCCGAGTCGAAGAACGCAAAGAGCTTCCTCCTCTGAAGAGATGGACAGGAGAATGACATGTGGAGACTGTTAGATCCAGAAAACAGCTTAAAAACACCCGCATTTGAAAAATGTTCATGAGACGCTGAGATCCAATCTATTTAAATAGGAGTGGATTGTCGCAGACATGCAACAAGCCTCAGTGCACTACAGTGAACGTTTGAGATGAGGATTAATCTGCGATGAAAAGGTAATTTTCCAGTAGACACTGAGACATCACACTCAAGGTGTTTCCCTCCCACAGTCCCCCAAATTCTAGCAATAGTACAGAGGGCTTTATAGGCCAAGTACAGCTATGGTCACCCTACATTATTACCGTGAATGGGGGTTTATGAGTGACCATTACTTACCGACTGGAACTGTAGTAGAAAAAAAGTTAAACACATCTCAAAGTAGCAATTTCTGATAACGTTATCTCCACCTTTTAGTTATTTCTGACAGGTCACATACAGCAGGTGTCTGTTTAAAGTACACTCAAGCAAGGTCTGGAATAACGACCCCAGGCCAGAGTCAGATTTCTACAATGCAAGAAATGTCTTGCTTCTGCTAGGAACGTTTCACAACTCACATCAGAGACCATACAAAATCAGCATTAGGTTTCCATCAAATTAAGACGCAACAGAGCAGAAATGTATTAAATTTGTCACATGAAGCCACGGAGTCGGGAATCAAACCCAGCCAACCTCGGCCCCTCCAGTGGGGCCTCCCCTCCACGGCCTCAGACCTCACCTTCATGACATCCGCAATCTGCTTCCACTCATCTGGGGTCGGGTCGGTGCCTGTGGGGTTGTGGGCACAGGCATGCAGCACAAAGATCGAAGACTCAGGGGCATTCTACATTTAGAAATATGCAAGGAGAAAAAGTTACAATCTCAATGCTACCATAACAATCCCTCATAACAACCCGGAAAACGAATACTTCAAGAACTGCAGAAAAAGCGCTGAAGCCTTCATGAAGGGAATGAAGGAACTCACTAAAACGAGTTCAGGCTTGGACTTGCACCAGTCCTCTCTGAATCTTACCTCCAGGTCTTCCAGGAATCCAGGCAATGCCAATCCACGCTTCTCCGCATCCCAGTACCGATAGGCACGGATATCGCTGAACCCAGCATCTATGAAGACAGCGTTGTGATTCTCTAGGGAGAAGGAGGTGTAGAAAAGATGATTAATGCACATGTGGGGTACTGACACTACAGTTAACTGTCCACGTTGTACATTTGACCTTGGATGCTTCCTTATCATTTCATTAAATAGAAGCCATCACCCTTGGGGACTGAAGCAGACGCACAAGTTTGAACACTGCAGACTGAAGAGGTTTAGGATACCGGAGAGGAGTGCAGCGTCTACAGTGTTAAAACCCATAAACAGCACAAAGTTCACTCTTAATGAGAGCGCAATTTCCACTCTAGCCTCATTCTTCTGAAGGCTAATGCCCACACAAGCTACATAAACTAGTGAATTGAAGAATACGGCATTAATAAAAATTGAATTCACCGTGACTTGCTGCACTTTCACCTGAAATGTATCACCTTTTTTACACACATTTCCAGAAACAGTCCAGTGATTTAGTCTATTGAACGTTAAGCTTTGTGTAAACCAAGAAAAAACAAATCAGAAAGGAACAAATATGCCCTGCATATCAAGAGAACAATGTTTTCATTTTAATCCTTTTCAAAAGGATATTTTGATTCTAAGCATATTTTATTGCTTTTAGAGAAAAGGTGTGAATAACTACCACGTTACAAGTCCAAGACATAGAACAGATCCGGTAGAGAACTAAATTTTTATGGAAATCTGGGCAGGCCACATTGTACAAGCCTGAAGGGTAATTTAGATACACTAGCAGGGTTAACAGCCCTCCTCTTAACTGTGCCATAATGGCATAATGCATCATTAATAACCAACTAGTCAGGACCTTGGTTTAATATCTCATACGAAGGACAGAAGCTCCCACAGCAAAGCGTTCCTGGTCATCAGACTTGGATATTGCCGTCTTTAAATTCTGCTCCAAAGTGAAGGGAACCAACTAGTGATCCACCAACACCACTAACAGCAGCAAACTGGATTTTCTTGGAGCTCTCCCATCCCAGTTCTGATCCAGCCCAGGGTCTGCAATCCAGGATTGGGGCTCCACAGTGTTTCAGTGTTTCAGACAGTGCTAACAGGTCAACAAGCAGAGATCTGGCAAGCATGCCAACATCTCCTAATTGAGACTGATCCATTTAAGCCATTCAGAGCTTGTTGTTCATTAGCTGGAACAACACGACAACGCAGATCTCCAGGACTGGAGCTGCAGACGCCTGGACCAGACCCGTCCCTGGTTAGCTTTTAAGATCTAACAAGATCGGGCTACAAGCTAGTAACCCTGATATCACCAAAAGGTTGCATTAGTTATCACACAGGCAAGCCTCTTGTGGCAATTCAAAAGAGCTAAATGACCAAACACCCACCATTCAAAAGAGAAGCTTCTGAAATCTGTTTTGTGAAGCAGCAGGCTGCTCTCTGCGATCACGAGTTATTCAGTGGAAATGCACAGGGGGCAAAAAGGCTGGTCACATATATACAAAGGCTGGCTAAATTAGTCATGGAACAGGTAAAGGTTTATTCCAGGCTGAAAAGAGAAGAAAAGAAACCTTTTCGGCAAAGGAATAAACCTTTACTTGTTCCTTTGAGGCCTACACATGATGACGCAGCCACCTGCTTGAACCTAAATAATCATGGAACAAGTAATGGGTTTATTCCATGCTCACACCTGAAGAAGGCTCCACAGCTGAAATGTTGTGTTTTCTTTCTTCTTCATTTCAGCATGGAATAAACCTATTACTTGTTCCTTTGAAGCCTACGCATGCTGACGCAGCTACCCACCTGAACTACTAAATAGTCATGTATGCACTGTCTGGGAATTAAGACACATCACACTAATTCCATGTCAAAGACATTTTAAATGTGTAGTTTAGTCTAGACAGTCTACGAGGTCTAGACAAAAAGTCTTAAACTAAATTCCTGAAGGGCCTAGAATCTTATACTTTTAGTTCCGCCTGAGCCCTTGTGTACAAAGCTGCAACTGCAGTTATAAGCAGTAAACAATTATTTCAGTCACATAACTGTAATGCTGTAATTCTAACTGGGCTGGTAATTCTAACAGGTGACTTACAGGGAACTGTACCATCAGTGAAGTGAACATCTTGAGTAATCAACTATAAAAGATATTTGGGAAATATCATATACACATGTAAGGAAATTATAAAGATGTTTAATTCAGACATGCTAGTAAAAGCATTAGCATTTTCATTTTATTTAATGCAAAAAATACAGTTTCCAGGCATTATACTCACATGCTTGTAAAAGTTGAAACCATATACACTACAATCCTGCAAAGCTTTTAACAGAATTTACAGTACTAAGAACTACAATGTGATAAATATGTAACTAATTCACTCACTCACCTGTTCGTTATAGTTAATGGAGTACTTAATATGCAATTCTAAATGTATTTTTCATCCTTGTGAACCAGAAGGTTAGTATGTGCATGTGGAATGGATAAAGAAATGAAATATTTTTTCCATGCTTGGAGTACGCTGGGGTGTGCCATCTCCCAGTCTCTTTCTGAGCAGGATTTTTCCATTTAGAAAATATTAAAGAAACATTATGGATTAAAACGTTTCTCGGGTGTGAACTTCTTTGCATCTTCAGTACAAACATTTGTGGTGATTTGACATTACGTCTGAACGTTCTGGTTTTCTGAGCTCGCAGGAATCCCTATCTGGATTCAAACTGAAGCAATAATGCCAAGAATTTCAATAGATATATTATACTTAATGTCTGATTTAAACATACAGTACGCCTGAGATTTTATTGCTACCAAAAACAATTTAGGAGAAACTTGCAGGGAATTACTGTATACTCCTGGATGTTACCCTTATACAGGTATTTAAGAAACAGTAAAAATGAATTTGGGAAAACTGAAAATGCATTAAGAACTAGGAAATTAAATAAAACGTCTAGGAAATGGGAAGAAAAAAAAAATCATCGACACGCACATCTAGCGTGTCGAGGTCAACTGCGTCACCCTGCGGCACGAGCACACTCACCCCAGGATGGTGAAGAGATGTAAATGGGCGTCGCGGTGTTATTGATGCCATTGTACCAGCGGCGCAGAAACTCGGCCCCGATCTTCAGGGCTCCTGTCCCTCCCAGACACTGTACGCCCCCCACCTGCGGCACAGACAGGAGCTCAAGCACCGCGGCTAAAGACACTCCATGGTCTCCGCGTCAACGAGAACGAAATTCAAGAGCCAAGATCAGCTGGTATCTCTGAATCTAGGAATCGCGGACCTGAAACAAACTCAAAACCGTTTCGCAAAAGATTCAAATCTTTTTCGAATCAAACGGCCCGTCAGGAAAACCTCGCAAAGAGAAAGACAGTTGACCCGAGGTAAGAGCCGAGCCAACAGCTGCTGCCGATGACTCGTCTTCTATCGCGAGCCGCGAGCGGCCAGCGGAGAGGAGCGGGGCGGAGCAGTACCCTGTGCTCCTGGACGGCCGGGCTGTCCTCTCCCAGGGCGATCTTGGAGGAGCTGGCCCTGAACTCGGGCAGCCCCAGGATGGGCAGGTACTCGTGGTTCAGGCTGGAGTCACTGGCAATCAGCTGCTCCACCTTCCGCACCACCGGCAGCACCCAGGGCTGGCAGGCATCCGTGCGGTAGGCTGCAAGGGAGGGAGGAGATCAGCCAGACCGGCCGCCCCTATCAAAATAAACCCACTGACGGTATAGAAACAGTTTACACATTTCAAAACTTTTGAACTTTGTGAAAGTCCTGCCAGGCTCCATGTTATCGGAAAACTCCTGTCTCACCACGGGGCGAGAGAGAGAGGTCCCATGAATTGTGAAGTGAAGCGGCCCTTCCTGCTCACTAGTCACTGTAATGACTAATGTGATGTACGAGGTTGTGCAGCACTGAAGTGTTCCAATGAGATCTGCAGAGTTAACCAGCAAGTTCCATTTATTGAAAAAAACGTCTTGAAGTTGACAGCAATGTATTCTCATCTGCTTGTTTAGAATGTAAGAGGGCCACCTCACGTCATCAGATGCTTTGTTCTCTTGTTCTGAATCACAGAATATATTGCTGTGCATACCTGGAAATTTAACCTATTTTGTGATGCAAATTGGAGGTTTTATAAGCTACTGTGTACATTTTGCTTCTCGTGTGGTTTAAAATGCACTCCTTGAAATATAAAAAATAGCGTTGCAGTCCCCCTTTAAGTGGCTTATTTAATCATAATGGGAATGCTCAAACAGAACCTTTATGTGCAAAAAAATTAAATAAATCAACAAACAATTCAAAGAAAATTCAGAAACAAAGATGCTGATTGCCCTAGTATTCATCCACCTAGCTATGGCAAACCCCCATTAGTTCAGGTGCACAAAATCACTCTGATAAATTACACAACTTTTTGAATTACCGGTTTGCAAGGCACAGAATGTTTTACACTAGATTAGTAAATTGATATTTAGTGGGGTACAGCTCTAGCAGTTCAAAGATGGCAAAAGGGAAGTCTTTTTTATTTGAACAATTTAATTAAAAAAAAAAGATGAAAAAAAGCGTCCATATTGAAATATACATTGTAAATACCAAACACCTACAAATGCATGAATAAAACTAGTGGAACTATTTCCATTAGGAAAGAATATGAAACAAGGAAACTCAAAGTAGGCATTAGGCAGCAGTGCAAGGATCGAAGGTGTTCAGACCGAACTGCAGATCGTGGGCAGGACACCCGTGTGCAAGGTAATGTGTTCGGATTGCTCCAGCAAAACGCCCCGCAGCTGGCAGGGACGCAAACAGTTGCTTTTGAATTTACCAGGATGGTGAGAGTTGTGAATAAAGGAAAGGGAATATAACAGTTATTACAAACAACAGAACCGGAAAGGTTATGCAGCACACAATGCTGTAAAACAAAACCCTACTGCACCCGCATTAGACTACCGATTCCTCCATGACACACTGCGCTTAAGAGCCAACCCACACAAACCATGTTGTGCCACCATTAATTTTCTCCCAGTTCATGTAATGTAGTAATCCTTAATCCTGCAATGCCAGTCAGTCGAGAGCCCAGCTGCTACCCGGCCTCTCAAGAGCGCAGCATGCGTGTCATTACAGTCATAAAAACCACCAGACTGAAAGTAATTCAGATACACTGTGAGCAGAATGCCTGAGCAGCTTTTAATTAACGGTTTACATTTCGAGCTGAGGACAGCGCAGCTCGCTTTTCTAACCATAACAAAAACGAGCCTGTTTAAAACAAATGCACTGTACTGTATACGCACGTTTAAAAAACCCAAGCTGCACAATCACGCGGAAAACATTAAAGCAAAGACCATATGCATAATACAGACCAAAGTGTTATCTTTTTTTTTAAGTCTTGCGATCGTCGTAATGAGAGCTGTGCCTTCAAAGACGTGACACACGTTTCTCAACTAATGAGAAGTTAGGATTCGGACACTCTCTGAGAGGCGGGAGAGCCCCAAGTCCTTCACCTTTTCCTGACACCAAGGCTCTGCTTGTCTGTACCGCTGCCAGGAACTGCGCACAGCTGCTGTGAAGGCCGAGCGAGTGTCCCCTGTCCTCCCGCAACCTTCACACTCAGCGCCGTGGCCTGCCCGGCCTCAGCAGCACCGAGTCGCCGGCGTGCCCACGGATTTGCAGACCTCGAGCCTCATTTCACACTTTTGATTTACGGCCGCGGATTCGAGATGTTAAGTGCCCATTTCCTAAAACAGTCACCCCCAACTCTCAAAAACAAAATGTATCAGTGTCACGAGCACTACAGCTGTAAACACCTCCGGGTTTTTTTTTAGGTTCCAGGGCATTAACCCAAGGAATACAAAAATAATAATGATGAATAAGAAAAACGTCTGTCTTGGTTTTCCTGGACTGGATATTTATGCCGCTTCCCGAAGCGATTAAAAGGCTCCTGCGGACGGGTGTGTGGACGTTTGTTGACTGAATTCCATTTCTGTGAAATCGGGAGTGTGACGCGCTGTGGGGTGGCTTGATCTCGGTATTAAAAGTTACGGGAATCGGATGTTACTCTGCAATTACATGCCGACGCAGCACGGGGGACCGCTGCTAACAATATTTCCGGCGGCATTAAGGACAAGCGAGGGTAGAGAACGAAAAGGGGGAATGTGAATGTTGAAGAAGTGAAAGGTTGTTTGCTACAGCCTCTAATAACCCCGGTTAACTGGTCTTGGAAAGGCATTCGGTAACCTAGTAACTCCCACAGTGTGTAACCTTGCTCCTCCTTACCTCCAACTCCCAGGTTCACCTTGCTGGGGTGTTTGTCCTCCCTGAAATCCGCTGTCAGCTTAAACACGGCCACCGGAGCGGCTTGCGGCACCTCGGCGAACAAGGACATGATGAGGGGGAAATGTCTCTGTCACGGAAACAGACGCGAGTGCCTGCGAGCTGGAGGCCGTGCCGGTGCGGAGGAGAGAAGACAGCAGCTTTTCACCTTCACCCTAGGAGAGAAGGAGGACAGCCAACAGGAACTGACGGCTGCGCCGCCAATCCCCGCTCAGAGTTATACAGACACGTGGTGCTGTATGTCCTCTTCCGGGTGCCGTAGTACACAGATGAATGACCGATAACTGCTCCAGTCAAACCACAAAAACACCAATAAAAGGATGCTAAGAAGCGATTGCTGTTACTGCAGAAATAATGGACTTGTGAGGCAGTAAAACGGGTGATAGCTGTGAGATACCCTCTTATTGGCCGTTAAATAGAAATCGTCGTCAGTTCTACGTAGGGATCAGTGGTCACCCTGCAGATTTTTATGTCCTGCAAATGGTGTAAAGAAGAACTGCATGAACAGCAGATTTTTTTCTCGCAGTTTGGCACAAACCTCTTTTGTGCCAGTAATGTAGAATAATATATCTATCTTTTTAAAATCTGCGAATCGTTACAGATTGTAACGTAAATAATAATTTACCTTAAGAAGTAATAATAACAATTATGTTTTTTTGTTGTTAGCGATACACGAATTATACAAATACTTATGTCGTTTTGTGTACAGCTCGTTATATTGCGTAAGGCCTGGTTATTTAAGAAGACTGGGCTGATTCATTGGATGATGTAATCGAAAAAGACAGTTTGTCCTAAACCGAGGCGTGGGATGATAATTTCGGATTTAAGAAGAGTCAGTTTTCGTAATTGCGATGAAAATGTTATCAAATTACACCTACAAAAATGTATATGTACATTCAGAGGGCACACGTGGAGACTATTTGGAAGTGTAAAACTAAGAACAAGAGGCAGATCTTTACACAAAAGGATGTGGGAGCCTGGAGCTGAATGCGCTGCTCTTGTGTGTGACCTTTCTTATATCCTTAAAGCACATACGGTACCAGTGTCCGGTTTCCTCCAAGGGCTGGGCAACGGAGGTGTGATTACCCACGAGTTTCCCTGCATTAGCTATGACATCTGCCCTGTCCACACGGTGTCTTCTCAGTGCCCGACACTGCAAAATTCAGAATACAGAAGTTAATGTGTAGCGTTCTTTTTGACTTGTACTGAAACTAAACACGGTCAAGAGGACACAAGTGCAAACTACAGGGAGGTGCACTTAAAACTGAGGACAGGAGGTACTTTTTATGCAGCGTTTAGAGTATTGAACAATCTGTGTCCAAGTCGATACCCTGCAGTCTTTTAAGAATTTTCTGGGTGATATCCTGGGTCATTTAGCATAACAACCAAACAAGCTTTTCAAACAAGTTTTCAAACTTTCTGATGTCTTCGTATGAAGAACTAAAATGAAGAGCGCACGTCTAGATAATTTCAGTTGTTACAAGGAAAACAAATATCACTAAGGTCAAAAGAATATTTAAGTGAACTTTTACAAGTGAGGTTTACTTGTGAATTATCCTTTACCCAGTTGTCTCAGTAATAATACAGTTTTCTCCTAACGGTCTGATGTGGCAAGTTATTTTTTTTTTTATCGCTGTTAGAACCATTAGTTGGCATTAGTACGACTGGAGTTTGCTCCTTAAGCGCTGGACAGTAGGACAGAGCGATAACGAGTGGGTGTGTGAGAGGCGTGTTGCAGTCACCTACCAATCGTTTATTTCCCCATGAGACCACGTAAGTTACACACTGTCTATTTCAAGGATCAAGGTCTTTCTGAGACCTCAAAAGAATTGTTGCGCTATTTTTTAAATACATCCAGAAAACGTTCTGCAATATTATTAAAAAATAATGTGTACCCCTAAACCCGAAACCCAAACGTAATATATCGCAATTCACGTGTTAGCCCTAGAACTGCTTGCAAATCTGAAATGTTATTAATTATTGGTAGGCAAGTAAGACGTATTTTGACATTGAAGATAACGAAAACATTTTGTCCATGCACATTTTCCACGAGGTGGCGCTCGCAGCTAACGCTACAACGCTCAAGACTACATCATTTTGACGTAACCTTCCCAATGAAAATGTTAGATAAAGATGTCTATTGCATGTCGAGTATTCTTTTAAAACCTCACTCTAAATAGTATGGATCCAAATGAGATGTGACTTAGTTAAAGCTTAAAAGGGAAGGGGTTAAAAAAATACAATAAAATGTTAAAACGCAAAAATCTCCGTAAATTACAGTACTAAACAAATTCGTTATTACGATGACGACATTTACCTTGAAGATGTAGGCTTGAAGTGGGATCACGCTCTTGAGATGAAAAACATTGTATTTTCTTCATATGTCTCTCCACCTGTATCCTACAGAACAGAAGCATTGTCTGTGTTACTTGTAGACACGAGTACATTTGAACACCTCCAGTTACCCGCTCTTTAATGCGCTGTAAGCGATTTCGTCACTCTGCCATACAGGTGGGTGTAACAGGACACTGTTTCCCGGCGGTTGGAATACCGAGAGTGGAAAGCCTGTGCCTCAGGTATCCTGTGACAGTCTGTCACACATTAGGAGCCTGCTCGTGTATGGTCTTCACAGCAGACACAGCTCTTCAGATTTAAAAGAATGCCTGTGTGCAGCAGGCTCAACGAGCCACATAGGTGTGGTTCCACATACCGTTTTCCTGACATTAATATTTTCCACTGTCATGACCCCAGTGTCTGTCATTGTAATTTCGAATATCAGCATTAAAATACGAACTCTGTCTATGTCTATCCTAAACTTCTTATTAACACATCAGTTTTACTGGAACAATACTCACATTATGTATATTGTATTCGATAAAACGAAAACTTATTGCGGTGCTGTTTTTGATTTCAGTACATATTAAAGCAAAATTGCACAATTTTTGAAAAACAATTAATTGTATTCCCAAGTAGGAAGTACACTAAGTTACAGACACACATTTCCTGCTGGATTCGCTGTCCTGCTTCAGACAGAAACGGAAGATATTAGCGGAGTGCATGCGTGTACTATGAAACGTGCTCACTTGAGGTGCACGGTATCAGCTGGATGAACCCCAGGCGCTGTGAATGTCCGCGCCAGCCATCTCGATGGCAGCTCCTGCTCTCCGGTAAGCTATATGCCCCAGCCAAGGGCCCAGGAGGGAGACGGCCCAGCCCCCTGCACTTGCATGGCAGCCTCCTCTGCCCCTGTGTGCCTTGTACAGTGCATGTTTTCATTCCTATCTCCCAGGGTGAGAGAAGGGTAAGTCTAACCTGTCAGTATTGCAATTATCAGATTTTTGGAGCTCACAGAACAGGTCTCAGGGCCTGAGGACCTGGGGTTATGATGTATCTGTTCCTTGTGAGTTTGACAGCAGCACAGAGTTAATGTTTCCCAGTTTGGAGGGTGTGATTGTTTCTCAGCTTGAGCAGTTTGTACCCTTAGGTAATAAGATAAACCAGCACTGCCCAGAGACGAGGAATCTCCACTGGGGACACAATGACGCCTTAATTTGCATTGTCATATTAAACAAACAACCCACAGAAAGTTGTATTCCATATCACACTCTCACAAACCTGATTTGCAGCTCATTACAGAACATTAAGATGTTTATAAACAAACTTTATAAATTGGTAAAAATGAGAAAATCAATGATGAATTTACATGCCGACCTTAGGCGTCCATTCACGTCTTCCCTAAACAAAATTATTTTTTGGTTATCCCTAGCGCCCAACACAAATCACATTCTTGCGCAAAACCTCGGCACAAGTGGTGAGCTGATTTCACAGCATTCTTTGACTTAACATAAAATAATACAGACTCGAAAGAGAAGGTTTGTGTGTCTTTTCTCAAGGACTTTTTATGATTGTTCTGCTTTTGAAACAAGAATGTATGCTGTTGCAATTTCTCAAAATAATAAAGTGAACCTTGTGGAAACACCAAGACTGCCATTCCTCTGGGGCCTCTGATTCAAGGTTTCAGTTACCTCAGCCTTTTTATTTGCAGGTAATGGACCCATAATGTGTGAGTGTCTTTTTAACTTGATTTCTGAGCACTGTCTCTCTGTAGCCAATTATTAAGGTGTCAACAGTTTTCTACTATGTACCTGCCTTAGCTAAAGAGGGAAAAATCCAAAATAATCCCAAGGAAGTAACATCTACTGTTCGTTAGTTACACCCTGGACAACTTTAAATAACAGCTGAAGAAGGCTCCGCAGCCGAAAACATTGTGTTGCGTGTCTTGCCTTTTCAGCATGGAACAAACCTATTACTCGTTCCTTTGCGACTTTAAACAACTTAACATTGATTAAAATGAAGTGTCAAAGGTGAAAAATCTAAGATCAAAGTTGATATTTGCATTGCAAATATGAAATGAAGGCTCAGTTTTTCATGGTTTGAAGCTATGTGTTAGAAGCACATCCTATATGCAAAAAAAAAACTGAAAGCACAATAACATTTCACTGGAAATTGTTGAGCACATGCCAGTTTCCACGTGAAGAGGCACAGCGCCAACGCACTGTGCCAGAGCCTATTTTAAGGTCTGAGTCTCCAGGTCACCCAGGGAATACTCTATGACATGAAGCAAATGTGACTGTCATTTTGTCTGGGGCTGTCTCAGCCATCTGTCATCGCGCAGAGATCCCTGCCCTGAGCAAAACAAAAGTCACCGCCTCTATGGTACAAATATAAAAAAAAAAAACAGTTCCATGACAGATAACACTTTTTTAGAAAATGTAGAAAAATAATCCAGGCTAATGTGGTGTCTCTTCCGATCGCAGGGAATACCACCGTTTCTTTTGAATCAGGAAACGTTAACAGATGGAATCTGGGGAAGAATAAGAGGGACTCACTGTTTGATGACTGAATTATTTACCCAAATTCTTTGCTCGTGAGGACAGCGCTCAAGGAAAGGAACTGACACTCAGCCTGCTGTCTACACTGCAGTTAACCGACGCTCCACAGCTCCCTCTCACCCAGGCTGATTCGGTGGAGATTTGTCTATCAGCATAGTGTCTGGTCCATGCCCTGTGTGTTTTAACAGGACACAAAAAATGTGCTCATCCAGTTTCAGTCCTTTCTGGAATGTGTGCCGAAGTCCTGTAGCATAAACCTTCAAAACAAGGTGAAGCAAAAAAAAGAGTTGGAAAAGTTATTTGAAGACCTTTAAGGGAAAGGAAAAACTGACTGACTTGATTGAAGAGTTTGTGGAAAAATCAGGTCCTCTGCCAACATTTTTCACAGAAAAGCTAGTCTCCTCTGTGGCCGATAGAGAGATATATTAAGTCATACCATAATTTG